TTTTTTTTTATAAGCATAAAATGTTTTTTTACAGGCATTAAAATTTTATATTTACATTATTTTTTTTGTTTTTAATTTTCTTCTTCATTGTTATTTTATTGCAATAATGGCATAACGTCGTGGAGATAACATAGGATCAAATAAACGTAATATCGCAATTTTAGAACACTGATTACTGTTCTGTAAAAATATTATTCTATCCAACATAATGGCTGCTTCTAATACAAGACCAACATGTATCCTTAACATTTGAAATTTGTAAAACTTCTTCGTTAAATGTGCATAAAGTTGAAATGTATTTGTTAATGTTTCCCGTGATGGTATCTAGGAATGTAAGTAATTCTTTAAAAAAAAAAAAATGTGCAACTATGCAATATATTTATAATGATGTTATTGTTATACCTTCTCCAAATCTATCCCAATTTTTGAAAATGCCCATTGAGCGTAACTTGGAAAATCGTGTAAAGGTCCTCCGCGACCTACTTTAGCGTTATAAATACCTATTAAGAAAAAAAAAAATAACACACTATATGAAATAGAGTGAAATTAAATTAATGTAAAAACAAATATACCCAAGGAATGAAAAGTCACTTGTAAAATTGCTCTATAGAACAATGATGAAGGTACAAATTTATTTTTCATGCTCCTTTCAATAGATTGTTGTGCTAACATTCTAGCATTCTTAGAAAAACTAATTTTTTTATTAAATGTTTCATTTGACAAGTGGTAACAACAAGGCACTATGCATAAAATATTAATGTCTTTTGTAGCTAAAAATGTTCTAATAACTGAATCAGTAAGAGAACCACATGTATGTAAACCAGTTAATATAAGATTTTTATTTATATCCCAACTGCAAAAATTTTGTTTTATCATTTTTATATAATCGGTTCTATCATTTATTTCTTCAACTACATAGCGTACCTAAAACAAAGTGCGATTTATATATGTCATATACTTATAAAAATTACACATTTAACTACTATAACTACCAGCATTGGAGAAAGTATCAGTTTCTTTTGTAATTTCTTTTGTCTACAAATTGCTCCATTACTACACAATTGTGAAGAATCTATTGCAAGTACAGGAACTTTATGATTTTCTGCTAAGAATGTTGATAGATATGCTTTCCCAGCACCAGCATCTATTACTAAATTATTTGTTTTTGCAGCAATTTCCCCGATGATGTTGCCAAGGGATTCAACTTCGTGTAACTTTTTTGCATTTATAAATTCTACCTTAATACTTTCACACATACATTTATTTTGATTGTTAATATGTGGCAATGTATTTGAGAAATCTTTTGAATTTATTTCTATAGAACATGATTGTAAAGATAAAGATTTCGCCAACTTCATAAAATTATTTAATATAGGATAATCATCATTTTCTGTCCAATTCATCCAATTCAATTCATTCTTCTCTAATTCTGATCTTAAGGTTTCTGGTAAACATGTCATCCATAAATTTTCAGTAATAAAATCAACTATATGACAGTTTATCAATTTGTGATATGTATTAATGAAATATACAACTTTATCGAAATGTTCATCATACATAACTACACATTTACAAATCTTGGTATAATATTTATTTACTGTAAATTTTTTCAGACAATAAATAATATACTTAATATGACTACGAGAAACTAAAAATATTATGAAACCAAAACATTAGTAATACTATCTTAGTTTTTGTTTAGTCAAGTATATTATCATGTAATTAAAAATTCAATTTATCCATTTCTGGATATGACGAACATATTTTCGCTAATGCACAAAACTTGGCATATTGAAATTTAATATTATCTATGCTCTTCAACATATCGACTGTCTCGTCATTAAATTTGGGAAAATTATAAATATCCTGCAAAAGCTTTCGTGCAATGGAAACACCCTTCTCTGAGTTACATTCGTTAGTACTCAAATATTGTTCCAAAATACCACTGTAATATCCCAATTGTGCACCTAACAAACTGCCCCTATGGTATCCAAAATGAAATCCATTTACCAACTGCTTTTTGCCAACCTCTAAACCTTCTTCGTAACCTACATCTTGGGCATTTTCTTCAGCAAATAGTAAATCTTCGAACTTCTTATTTATGTCTATATCTTCTTTATTAGACATAATTACCGTTATACATTGAATAATCTAATTTAATTTAAAAATCTAAATCTTAACCATTCCAGATTATCAATGGCTATGAAATAACAAACGAATATCAAATAATTTCGAATCACTATATTTAAGATTATGTACAAACATGTTTGCCAATAGTTAAAGCCACTATCTGCTTCGTTCATAGTTAATAGTAAATATTCAGTTAAGGTTATAAGTCCGTACGAAAAACAAATATATATATTTCTTTTTTTTTTATAGAAATTGCTCATTCATAGGCTGTAAAAATCTCATTCATTTCAAAAAAATTTACAATCGTAGATCGGAATATATTTGTATTGGAAAAAACATGGCTAGAACCAACTTCAGAGGTGTGTCATGTTTGCAACAAACACGGTGTTCTTTCACGTAGCGTATCCAACAATTTTTCAAGTTAACATTTCGTAAAGAATGCTCGCGTTAGGACCTAAAAAGGACGGTGGACCCAACACGAAATTTTTTGAGTCCCAGGAAATCCTCACACAATTGGATGGAATTAAACAATGGCTCTTGAAAACCTGCAAAAAGGTACGTCCAAACGTTTGGCTTCGAGATTGTATATGATCAATTGCTCACTAATTTATATACTATATTCTGACACGAATTAATTTCTCATATTTTTTCAATTGTTTTGTTACTCTATAATTTATTATGATCATAACTTTATTTTTATTAAATTAATGTAGATAGTAACAAACATTAGTAACGTATGCAAATTAATTATTTGTTATGTCTATTCTCTGATAAAATGTTGCTTTTATACATTCAAATAATAATTTCATTATATAACATATGAATATTTTATTTTATAAATTATATCACATAGAAATGTATTTAATTTTGCTGAACTATTTTGACATTTCAAAATATTTTTCTTATATTTCAAAATATTTTTCTTCTCTCTATTTTTTTAGTATGTCCAAACGGATCCTCCCACTAACAAAACTTTAGCTACATTAGTAGTACAGTTATTGCAATTTCAAGAAGATAATTTAGGAAAGAATGTTTCGAAACCTCCAATGACAAGACTTCCTGTATGTATTCTTCAATTATTATAATGTAAAATATTTTTTTAGAAATTAATAAAATCATTTACGAAATTTTTAGATGAAATGTTTCTTAGATTTTAAACCTGGTGGTGGCTTATGTCATATTCTTGCTACAGCATATCGTTTTAAACAAGAACAAGGATGGCGTCGATTCGACTTCCCTGTTGGAAAAGTAAGTATGACATAATTTAATAGTTACATACATAAATAAATATTGACTTTTAGTCAGGATCGCGTATGGACAGAACAGTGGAAATGTTAATGGCAGCTGAACGAGCCTTGGTACAGAATCGTTGTATGATTATACCAAGTGTATATGTTAGACCTGATGTAGACAAATCAACAGCTGTAAAAGTAAAAGAAGCAGTTCGGCGACATCAAGGTAGTATTGTTGAAAATGAAGCAGATGCAACACACATAATTTACCCTCCAGTTGATCCTATGGAAGAAGAGTATGCACGACCTTGTATGAGACGAGAAAGATCTGTCCTTCTTCATTGGTATTATTTCCCAGATAGTTATGATTCTTGGACTACATTAGATCTCCCCTGGGACTTTCCAGAAGGTACACTTACAAATACAAATATGAAATCAGTATACAAAGTATCGGCAACGTGGGCGTTAGACTTGGATCAGTATAACGAATGGATGAACGAAGAAGACTATGAAATAGATGAAAACGGTCAAAAGAAAATACATAAATACCGACTTTCGGTAGAAGATTTAATGGCTCAGCCGTCTCATCCTCCACCTTCAGCAAAGAAACCAAAAAGAAAACGATCTCCTAGTCCATCACCGAAACCAGGAAAACGTAAAAGTGCGAGAGCACCATCAGGTGTTCAAAGTACTTCATCTTCGTCATCACTTACGACTCCAAAAAAATCACGTGGTGGAGGAGAAGAAGAAGATGATCTCACTCAAGGAATGGAAGATCCACCGGCGGAACCTCGGATCGTAGAAGTAGTTGCCACTCCTACGAATCCTCCTGTCACTGGTCAAGGTAACATTCCAACAAGTGGTTCTACTTTGACCACAACAGGCAGTAAAAAACAAGATAACGAACTTCAACCGCTCAAATCTGGTAATATGGCAGATTTGGATGAGCCTATGGAAGGAGATAAGGGAAGTTCTCAAAGCACTCAAGATAGGGAGGAACGAGACACAAGCAAAGAAAGAGGAGAAGCGAATAAAGGAGACGAACCAGAAGATAATGTTACTGAGCAAACGCATCATATCGTTGTTCCTAGTTACTCAGCTTGGTTTGATTATAATTCGATTCATACCATAGAAAAGAGAGCTTTATCCGAATTTTTTAACGGTAAAAATAAATCTAAAACCCCGGAAATTTATCTTGCATACAGAAATTTTATGATCGATACCTACAGATTAAATCCTACGGAATATATCACATCGACTGCTTGTAGACGTAACTTAGCAGGTGATGTCTGTGCAATTATGCGTGTACATGCATTTTTGGAACAATGGGGACTCATTAACTACCAAGTGGACGCAGAATCAAGACCGACACCTATGGGACCACCTCCTACATCACATTTCCATGTGTTGTCAGATACTCCCTCGGGTTTGGCTCCAGTTAATCCAAATCCTCCAAAAACACCACAGCCTTCTGCCGCGAAAACATTACTCGATTTAGAGAAAAAATCATCTAGCCTAGGAACAGAGGAGAAAGCTACGGCCGGGGTGATGGCAAACTTTGGATTAAAAATTGATCAGTATTCAAGAAAACCAGCGGTTTTGAAAAATAAACAAGCTGCTGGTGCTACTCGTGATTGGACAGAACAAGAAACGCTGTTACTATTAGAAGGACTAGAATTACATAAAGATGATTGGAATAAAGTTTGCGAACATGTTGGTTCGAGAACGCAAGATGAATGTATCTTGCATTTCTTGCGGCTTCCCATAGAAGATCCATATTTAGAAGAAGGCGGTCCAGAAGGTCTAGGTCCATTAGCTTATCAACCAGTACCGTTTTCTAAAGCTGGCAATCCAGTTATGAGTACTGTGGCATTTTTGGCCTCGGTCGTTGATCCCAGAGTTGCTGCAAGTGCAGCCAAAGCTGCTATGGAAGAATTTGCAGCCATTAAGGACCAAGTACCAGCAGCCTTACTAGACCAACACTTGAGAAATGTTCAAGCTAGTGCCAATTCTGATGGTAATTAATTCTTTTTTTAATTTTTTCTTTCATTATATTAGAGTATTGAATAATTTGGAATAATACCTTGTCATATTAATCATTTTTCAATTATTTAGGGAAATTTGATCCAGCTGCAGGACTAGCACAATCGGGTATAGCTGGGACGGGACCACCCGAACCTCCAGATGATACAACACCAGCTTCAACTACTGGAAATGTACCAGCAACAGTGGCTACATCTCCACATTCGGCAACAACAGCTTCTATAGAAATGAAAAAAGAGGAACAAGAAAAACCTAAAGAATCTGAAATTGACCAAAGTCAATTAGATATAGCAAAGAAAGAAGATGAGCTAAAAGAAACCGAAGAAGATACAAAATCAACTGTGGATGCTGAGTCTATGGAAGCGAAAGAAAAGAAAGATAAGGTAAATTATTATCTTTATTAAATATTATTTATCTCTGTTGTCATTTATATGGTTTGTGTTTTTTTTTTTTTTTTTACTGAATTATAGGTGGTACGAGATGCTCAACTCCAATCTGCAGCTGCAGCAGCATTAGCGGCAGCTGCTGTTAAAGCAAAGCATTTAGCAGCTGTAGAAGAACGTAAAATTAAATCTTTAGTGGCATTGCTTGTTGAAACGCAAATGAAAAAATTGGAAATTAAATTACGTCATTTTGAAGAACTGGAAACTACAATGGAACGAGAACGTGAAGGTCTTGAATATCAGCGACAACAACTCATTACAGAAAGACAACAGTTTCATTTGGAACAGTTAAAAGCTGCGGAATTCAGAGCTAGACAACAAGCACTTGGACGTTTAGCCCAAGAGCAGCAACAACAGCAACAAAATCAACATCCTACATGGCAACCTGCTGCACAACAACAACAGCAACAGCAACCGCCAAGTCCACAACCGCCAGGTCAACAACCACCACCGCACACGCCTCCGCAACAGACATAATTTTTTTGTAAGGTATATATCATATTTAGAAGTTTCAGTTATCAATCGGTATAATAATGTGTTATTATGTGTTGACAGAAAGTGTGAATGTAAGAGGAAAAATTGTGACTGAAATTTTTAGTACTAAAATAGTATTTTCAACATAAAGTAATGTTCGTTTTATTATTTACTCTTATTTAATGTAACTAGAGATTTTCAACAAACTTTTGTATCATGTAAGTGTCAAATCTTATGGAAATTTATATAATTTAATCGCGTATAAATATATACATAAGTTTACGCAACAATTTTACAATTACGTTTGATTTATTTTGTCGCCATATAAGAAAGATATTAGTATTCATAAAGATTTTATATAATTCAATCTATAAAGCATGATTGTGGACGAGTTCCAAAACTAAATCAGTCATAAGTCGCGCACATTCAGCTCCTCCTCGCGGTGGTGCTCGTGTATTTTGTTTTCCTTCACTTGTTTCTGATTTTTCGTATAAATCTGGAGCTTCTTCGCTTTCGCACGTACTAATTGGCAAAATATCCAATGCAAGTCCTATACCGAATCGCCCACATCGCCGCATTTCCTCGTTTAATCTATAAATGACGAATAGAGCAGATAAGTTAAAAGATGTACTAAGAATAATTGTTTAAAAAAAATTTAACCATAATCTTTTTTCTCTTACAAACATATTTTATATATTATTATACGTTACTATATATGTTATTACTATATGTATTGCTATATTAGACGTGTTGCTTACAGTTCCCACATTATGGATGGATCTTTTGGTGGCTGTTTTGGATTAAGCGTTTGTAACGAAGACATTAGGTGAAAATGATAATGTTGAAGAAGTTGTGTCATGTGCGTTCGTCTAATTTCCCCATTTGCACAACAATACAACAAATTCGCAAGATCAAGGGCAAGTGAACCAACTCGAGATAATTGAAAATCAACTAAATAAACAACCTGCAAAGTCATTAATCGTAATTTAAAATTTGATTCAGCCAGATTGTAATATTTCCAATTTCTATTCCCTAAATTAATTTAATCGAAATTTAATCAGTATTGATATTCAAATTATTTGTACTTCGTGAATGAAACAGAAAACCAAAATAACTATTTTTGCACTATACTTATAACTGTTCTTTCTTCCCTTGTTTCAATAAATTGAATAAGTATGGGAATAGAATTTACAAAAATCCTAACTATTTCGATAATGGAGAAACACGATTTGTTTACTACTTATCAAGAATTCTTGATAATTGGATAAAATTAAATCGATAATTAAATTCGAATAATTTTTATTTTTATGAAATAGCAATTTTATGAACTACAAGAATTTTTGCTATAATATTATTGACACGTACAATTGATAATTGAGTAGGAAGCAGGGAAAAGATAGTATCTAAAAATCTTATTAATGAGTAATTTAAAATAGTACTTGTATAAGACAATTGGTAACAGACACAAAAAGAGTTAGTATCTAAAAATCTTATATAAATTAATGAATAATAAAATTATACCGAGAAACATTATTTCTTGATTCTTCGATTCCTATATAGTTGAATCGTATAACGTACACGTGTTTACACACTTTTTTATATATTTTGATACGATCATACATGTAAAGAAAATATTCTTTACCTGGTTATTAAATGATAATAAACATTATCTATACGTAAGACTTACTTCTTCGTTTGGTAATGCCAAATCGTCTTTAAATAAAATATTATTAGTCCAACAATCACCATGACAAAAAACAGTAAGGGGACCTTGCATGGCTGTTATTTCGCTCATAGTACGAAAAAATACATCATCGTTGAGAAATGATCGTAATTTTCTCATTATTTCGGTTCTTTTAAATTCCATATGAGCAGGAAGACCATCAGATACCATTCTGATAGCATTCTTAGCAGCAACTTGATAATATTGACGGTACCAATCCTCGTTTTCTGTCCGAAAAAGAACTTCTTGTATACCCTGACCACTGTTTGGGTCCGTCAGTCTTGCAAATTCTTCCGGCCTTGTACATCCATACGTACACGTTAATATACATACTTATATGAATATAATGACATAATTTAATAAAAAGAAGAGCAAAAAAAAAAAATATTATTTGACTTGCCTCGTTTCTCTAAGAGTTAAACTGAGTGCATGAAAGCCTGCTAAAGCTTTCAGCGCTCGTTTCAAATGTTCAAGTTGTAATCCTTTCCTTCTATCTGCCATTTTAAAGCCTCTCTCTCGTAAATCTTCCATAGCAATAAGATCAATTCGCGCCGTATATATTTTTGCGACTCCGCCAAAAACCTCTCTACCATTTGTTTGTAATTCGTTTAAAGCAGGCCACACATGCGTATAAAATGCTACTTCGTTTCGAAATAGAAGTTCGCTTTTAAAGGCTTCACGATGTTCCCTTGATCGAGGTAAAACTTTATAAATAATCGCACGCTCATAATTTATCCATTCACGATTTTTTATCTGCTTGCGGCCTTTTGCTCGAACACGATATAGCATGGATGTATAATTGTCACCTCTTCCTGAACCAAGTTCTTCTTCTAAGCTGGTAATCTGCACATTAGGTTCATCTTTTGTTATCAATTCACGCACAGATTCTAACGTAAGACGCACGTCTCCTTCCTCATCCATCACTTTGATACTAAGGACAAAAATTACAACTTTTAAAATTATGAAGTAGAAATTAAAAAGAGAAATTTCGTGTGTTTGCAAAATTCTTGAATCAATAAATATCGTAACACTTTAGCCTTTGAACGTGAACGTGAACGAGTGAGTTACGATGTTTAAACTACAATGCAGGAAATAAGTATTTGAGTGACGAGAGAATAGTAGCTCCCACTATCACAGAGCTTAATTTATTAAACGTAAGTACCCTAGCTAGGGGGGCAAGGACATTAATACATACCAATCATGCACATAATTTTTATTCTTTGAATGACAAATTGATTGAAATTTTTGTACATATAACGCAAATTTAATAAAGGAATAATATCAATTTTCTAAGGGGTAAGGATGAGATGTCCACTTAGTCTTATTCTATTTAACATAGAATATAGACGATATAGAAGATATCGAAAAAATAGGAGATATGGGACTGCGATCCAAGAATATGCTATAAAATTGTGAAAGATATTACAATAGTTATGATTGCAATAGTGACAGATGACTATAAAGAGATTGAGAAAGCTGCTAGAAAATCTAGAATCATACACCAAAAGAAAAGAATCAAACAATGAAAACCAAAACGATCTAAGAAAAAAAAAGAAATTAAAGTAATAAACAACATACATTTACTACAAGAAATAGACACAGAGAGCAGATACAGACACAAGTGGAGAAAACATAGAAAGCATTAAACGCGACATGTATACTCACAATTAGCAAAAAGAACAAAAAATAGAAAAATTTGATAGATTGATTTGATAGGTTTTAGTCTATTAGATATATTAATTAACTCAATTATGCAGAAATATTGGGCTGGCAAAAACGAGAACAAAAAATAAACGTAATATAAAAGTATGAAGAAAAGAAAATTGAACAGAAAATTGGACAGTTTAAATAAAAGCTTATTTTCTCCATTTGCAAACTTATGACAACAGATCCTGCATATATAGCTACATACAACGGCACAGTATCATCATACCTCAGTAATCAAGCGACTTAAGACATCATCATCCTGAAGACGTGACCTCTGTAATATAGCATTATTGTCACCCATGATCAGCCATTGTTGACTATCGTAAACTATTTCTGGTGTAATATCATTGCATAAACCTTGAATATTATTGTATCCTTCATAAATAATTTCCAGCATATAACTATTGTTATCTTAACTTACATCATTGTACATACCATTCTACAGCTGTTTCTCAATTATGTCGCATATCTGGGTTTAACATATTGTTTTTTCTGGTTTTGCCACTCGTTCGGTGTAATATCATTGCATAAACCTTGAATATTATTGTATCCTTCATAAATAATTTCCAGCATATAACTATTGTTATCTTAACTTACATCATTGTACATACCATTCTACAGCTGTTTCTCAATTATGTCGCATATCTGGGTTTAACATATTGTTTTTTCTGTTTTTGCCACTCGTTCATTTCTTTCATCATACTTTTACCAAGAATTGCCAGATTCATTCATATGATTTGCGATGGTAACTTATTAATTATAACTTATACTCCCGACTAATGGTTTACCTCATTAGTAAGTGAATTCTCAAAGTGAATAATAAATGATTTTCCATTTCATTCATTGCTGGATAATCTTAAGATTAAAATCTTAACAATACTCGCACCATAAATCATCAAAGGAAAAATACATTGTAAAATCCAAAAAAATATAGCCATATTTCTTATAAATGGCATAAGACTAACATAAAACATTAAATCAAAGTAAAAATAGATGTATAGAGATATAAATAAAGCCAAATAGAACAAAAACAACTATTATGTAAATATATGCTTAGAATTAGTCAAGAATACTAACTATAGTGATCTAGTATATAAAGAAATATAAAAGCAATAAAATTAAAATCATTATACCTATAAGTATAGTATGAATATAAGTTTATAAATTTCATGTATCAATTATACTTTAAGAGTTTTATTAATTGTAAAGACAATAAAAAGAAAAGGGAATATGTAATTACATAATGTTTTGTGAGAAAATGTTTATTTTCTCACAAAATTATAATTTAACTTCATTCTTTTGTATCTAAAGGATTTAATGCTTCCACTCCCACTAAATCAATCAATTTTTGACGATCTACATTTGTAAATTCTGGAAGATTCTGTAATTTTGTAGCCATTTCAACAATATGTGGAAATCCTGAATTTGCAGAATATTCGAGAATAAGCTATAAGAAAATAAATGCCTTAAAATTATACTTTTGATTTTAAATTGAAATAAATGTAGATCACAAGTATATACGTACAAAAGCTCCTTCGATACATTCCTTTAAAATGTAATTGTTGAATAATTCATTTACTTGTTTTTCATTCATTGTTGGAAGAAATACATTTGATTCTTTAACAGTATATGTCATAACCTTAACACTTTCTTTTACACGATTACCATGTAACAATATCATTGCTATGCAAGCTGTCACAGCATTTTCAATTGGAGTATATCTTTCCTTTTTGATTTCTTTCTGTAAATAACAAATTTTTTATTTTTATTTTTTACTTTATCTTTTTATTTTTCATTTATTATTATAAATAAGCCAACCTGAATGATATTCCAACAATCCCAAGCTATATCCACAAGATCTGTTCTTAAAGCTGAATCAGCAGATAAAATATCTATTTGTATTAAACGTAATAAAATAAATTTCATTGAAAGTTCTATAGTACAATAAGTATTTATGTCTGACCATAATCTTGGTATATATTTCATTAAGTGAGGTGATGAGTTATATTTGAAAGCTTCTATAATTTCTACTAAAATCTGTTTTGATGGTACAAATATGGTTGGAATTAAATTCTCATAAAATTTAAAAAATTCCTCAATAGTACTTGTTGACAACATCAATATTAAATATGAGCTGTAGTAAGCGTTTTCCTATATAAAAAAAAGTAAAATTTATACTTAAATAAAAAAAGCAATAAATATTTAAATATATAAATACATACTGCAGCAGCAGATGAAATAAATTTATAATTATCTTTTGCCAGAAGAAATTCATGAATCTTATCACCAGCTTTTCTATCATTGAAAATAGCGGCTAAGTACATAGCATGTTTAAAAAACTTCAAATCTATTGGATCTTGAATGATAAAATTTTCATTTTCTATTGAATGTAGAATTTTCAGAAAATTATTATGTCCTTTTTCGTCTGTAATGAAAAATAATTGTAAATGTAAATAAACAGAATTAAAATGAGTAAATTATAAAAGAGATTATAATTATAATTACTATTTTCTGTAAATATAATCATAGCATAATAATATGATGCTAATGAAAATTTTATATTTAATCGTTTAAATTCCATAAGAAAACGTTTTGCAATATCTATCTTATCATCTACGTTTATCGCTTTAATCACACGAAGAGCATTATTCAATGTTTTAAAATTTGGCTTAACTTTTTTTTTATTTATTGTATTAATAATATTAAATAAATTTTCTATTAACAGTTCACTCTTGTGATCAAAAATATCTGGAATTAGCCATAATATGTAATTATAAGTAGTAATATTTAATGGAATATTTTCCTCTTCGCATTTCTCATATAGAGCCCAAGCTTCATTTGTCTAAAAATATAAGTTAAAATTAATAAAATTGAAAAAATAAAAAAAGTTGTGCAAAAATTAAAGTTGATATACTCTGAAGTGTTTTGTTAAACCACATATCATAACATTATATGCCGCTGCTGCTATTGAAGAATCTTGTTTAATTAAAAACTCAAACAATTCATTAATTTCTGATGTGTACCTGTAAAATGTAAAACTATTGAAGTTAATGTGATGTAAGTATAATTCCTTACCTTTATTATTCTTTCAGTACTTACTTCCAAATACGTGTATTTTGGAACATAATAAACCATTGTTCTAAATATAAATTATTCTGTGCAGCAGTTTCATGATTGTAAAAACACAATAATTCTAAAAGTATTTGTTTTGTTTCATTAGAAACATTGGAGTCTAACAATTTATAAATATGCAAAGCATCAGACACCATATGCTTGGATATGGCATGTAAAAGTATTTCTTCTGATACTTGATTTTTATCAGTATACACCGGAGGTGGCTTAAATGCCTTTAAATACAAATTACTTATGTCACAAATTTGTGAAACATCATATATTATATTCATATTAAATAAAATTTACTTCAATTTCTGGATCTGAGAGATGTTTTGGAAATAAATCTCTATGTTCTTTATGAATCCATATTGCAGCTTTTCTGCCTGCCTCATATGACAATGCATAATTACGGTAATTAGTTTTCTTTACTGGATATAAATAAGGATCATCATGATACACATAACTGAGATTTATAGAATCTTTTGGTATAGTACTTTCGAGGGCCTTTAAAAAAAATCAAAAGTTATAAAGTTAAATAAATAACTGAGTAAAAATATTTTCTGCAAAAATAAATTTTTCATATATTTACGTATAAAATATCAGTAGAGTCACGTTGTATTCTAGCTGGTATCTTGATTTTAGAATTTGATACTGATGATTGTAACCTTCTTAACTCATACCATGGAGTCCTATAAAGCAAATATTAATATTAAAAGGAATATGATATAAATAAAAGGAATAAATAAAAAAAACTAAAAAAAGAAACGTGGTATATATAATAAATAATAACATTTTTGATTTTTCTATTAAGTTCAATAAATTATATCATCGTATTAACTAACCTATCTAAAAAGCATCTGAAGCGATTCATTATGAATGTTTCGATTAAATACAAGATTATGAAAATCTTGTTATTTAAATATTATAATTAGCAGTTAAAACGTGAATATACATTTGTTAATATAATTTCTTCCTTTCATTAATCTAAATTATTTCAATTTCAAAACTATAAAACTCGCTCACATAGGTATAGATACACTTGCAACACAAAGCTTTCATTTCTATACTATGTATTTGGTTGCCTATGTGAAGGCTTTTTTGTATCTTTTTTTGTATAAAGTTAGATATATAATATATAATATTATAAAATATTAATAGAATTAAATTATGCATTACAAAATAAAAGTTTCAATATTTTATAAAAATTTAATTTTTTACCCAAATAAGTTAAATGATAAATAAAACAGTTTAGTATAAATAAATGTTAAAAAATTATATATTTATTATATTATATTATTAAAATTATATATTTATTATTATATATTTTAAAAAAAATTTATATTTCTACTTTTCTTAGAAAGTAGATTTCAAAATATCAGTTTATGCATATCTATTTTCTTATAGCAACAATTCGTATACTTCTAAATTTTCTTACATTAATCAGTTAAATGTCGCATTTATTTCTAAAAGAAAATCAAATAATCACATTTGTATTCAAATTAAACGTAATAATTGATATTGAATAATTGAATTTGAGATTAAATGCTTTGATTAAAAAAATTTGAGAAGTATTCTTCAATGTAAATCTTCAATGTAAATTCTTCAATGTAAAAAATAGAATTTACAATTTGTTGATATGTAAAAATATATGTTATGCGTAAACATTATAACAATATATTATGTCAAAGGTAGAATTATAATTAAATGAAATTTTTTTACAAAATAGCTAATCAATCCTACAATAAAGTCGTAAAATTGATATCGCAAAAACCATGAAGGGAAAGTTTCCGAAGAAAAATATTCAATACCATATCAAATGCATCATTTATATCTGGTATTATAACTGAAAATTTTTTTATCATTGAGCTCATGTATACACATATATGTATATAATAAATGAATATGGCAGCTGCACAGTCATATCTACAAGATAAAGATTCATTTCTTTCAGCGCATTTATTGTTTAGCATATGAATAGTAGGAGCACGTATTCGTGTGCATATACACGCATGGATGTGAAGTATACCCTTTGGCATATTACAAAGAATTGAATAAAGTTTATAAGGAAGCCAAAACCAGTCCGCAAAGAGAAGCAGTTCTGTGCCGTGAGAATATGCGTGCGCGTAAACGTGTTAACATGTGGTTGTACGTATATGTGCGTATACTATATAGTGCTCACATAGGGAAGAAGCCAGGTGTTTTATTTCAAACCGTGGGACTCTTAAAAGGGGATGCTTACACCACGTCTTCTACTTAAAGAATATGAATGAAAAACAAAATTCGTATTTCACCGACTAACAAGAGAAACGACATCAGCTTGACTACTTTCATTGTATTTTCTTATTCAATCGAACGTAACTTAACCCCTAGTTTTCTCGTTTTTCTTTTCTCCTCCTTTCAACCAATTTCCTTCCATAGATTTCCAATTTTTTTCTTTGCATCGCAGTAGGAAAAAAATTGAACGGTACTTCAGCACAAACTGTCAAGCAACAATTCATATTATGTTGTATATCGTATCATTTACATTGCTTCGTAAGACGAAGAAAGAAATAACAAAATGCTTTCTATTGTTGTCACTTTCCTCCGTTACACATTCTTCATAGAATTTTCTGGAAATTTAATTAGTATAAGTACAATTATGAGAAAGTTCTTTTCTTTTTGTTTACAGTTATAACTTACTGATTACTTAATACTTTTGTTTACAGTTATAACTTACTGATTACTTAATAAATAAATTTTTAAAATTTTAACAGATTTAAAGTTTCGAATTGTTAGAGAATTATCGAATTTTATTTGAATTTATCGAATCTGAATCACTTAACGAAACAACTACAAGAATTTGTCTACCGATTTTTAATTTCGATAATTTTAATGTTTAACATTAACGTTTAAAACTAGAGAAAAAAAATTTTTGTAATATACGGATTGGGATAAATTTAAAATAGAACGAATTTGATTTTTAATTTAAAATATTCTTTATTATTCGCACATAAATCGTAAAAGATAAAAATTGATACATGTCATTTTTCAATATTTATATTCTATGTATTTATTTAAACAAACATTTTTTGCTTTTTTTTTCGAAAAACAAACATCAATACAATGAACAAATAACATTTTTACAATATATTGACACATGATATACTATACACTAATGGTTCTTCGAAGAGTAAATAATCAGAAGGATATTTTAGTCCGGTATCAAAAGCGCAACAGATGATAGGTCGAATAGATATAGCAGGCCGGGACGAGTGCAATTTGATCTAACCTTGCAACAAATAATGCCCACATCCCAACCTGCCAGTATCCTCGACGAATTCGACTGAAATGATTAGCATCGTCTTCTGGTTTGTTCTTTCTTTTTCCAATATCCATCGATCGTTGTGTCTTCCGTCTTCTATGATGAAATATAATGCATTTCGATAGGCCGGGACAAGTGCAATATTGAGAATTATATTACTTGAAACATTGACACAAATCTCGGCCTACCTCCTATGCAAAATAAGATTTTTCTCGTGCCGCGATAAATTATATTTCTAACAAAATAAAGTTCAATTAAATAATGAAATTTTTATATGCAAAAAGAAAATTACACTTACACTTAAAAAAGAAAAAAGAAAAGAAAAAGAAAGGAGAATTTGTTTCTATGAATTTATAAGAACAGGTCTTCGAGTAAACACGTGTTCTCTGGAAAGTTTCCTATCCTGTGATCAGGTATACTTTTGTATACCTTGTATACTTCTTCGATTCGGACTTCAAATAAATCATTTCCAAACCGAAGAGAAC